TTGTTTGGTGACAGTATGGACTCCGGATTCAAAGTTCTACAGGAGATGGCCCATCTGTATGAAACCATCGGTAATGACATGGTTCATAACATGCCTAGGACTGACGTAAGTGATTTTGTAATGAGGTTACATATTGCATATATTTGCTAAATATATCTTCTGACTTTGTTTATGCATAATTTGTAGGATCCACAAAGTCTCAGGAAGCGACTAATGGTCCAGCTGTTGATGGTTAGGGATAACCAAGCAAAGGATAACATTCCAGAGCAAGTTAGAGCAGCGTTGAGATTTATTGGTGGCTAAGGATGACTTCTCCATCGATAAATACCTTATAATAAAATGATGTTTAGTTGCTTTCTAGGAAATATCTGTTTCAATGCCCGTGCTGATGATCAGTTGACATTTTCTCTTATATTTATGTTGGTTGGTATCCACTAGCTATAGATTGATGTTGGCATCCCCTAGCTTTGTTGGTTATATATCTATCCTTCCATCCGTCTAAATATTACGAGAAGAAGGCCATATTAGTTTGGACCAGGTTTGGTGCTCCAGGTGCACCGGCAGGTGATGTTTTCAGATATTCAGTGCCTCGCAACATATACTACTACTACCTCGTATAGTATAACTCCATCCATACATGCACTGCTATACTATACGAGGTTTTCTTCGTAGTAAAAAACACATTCCAGCTAGCGAGTAGTAAATAAAAATATGATTGTCATACGACACGTACCTTGCATATATTATATAAGTTTCAAGTTCTCCTTTATCTGCCTCTCTCGCCGATTCCTTCAATTCCATCCTTGCAAATAAACACTGATTATCTTTTATGTGTTCCTGAATAGAAAACAAAAATTAGAGAGAGCAATGGGTTTTCTTATTGATCAGTACATATAGATAAAACCTAAAACTAAAATGGTAGGTATGTTAGAGCCAGACATATATATATATATCGCATCTTTGACTAAGTATATTGGACGAAAACGAATCCTATTTGTGAGCTAGATGTCTATTTATCATGTTGCTATTTACCTCTTCAAGTGTTTGCCTTATTTTTTATTCTAATGTATGGCACTCTTATGGGCCCGCAGAAGGTTTCTTTGTATGCTTTACCCAAATTCATGTTTTTTTCCCGCCGAAGAAAAAACTACTCAACTTAGTTTTAAAATTTTGTCATGCCTATTAAAAAATTGTATATATGTATTTTGAAATATGTTCATCATGCATTCAAGAAAAATTTAACATGTACTAAACAAAGTAATGTTCAAAATTACTCTTACACTTGTACAAACACGTTCTTTATGTTTTTACATATTTATAGAGTGATGGAACCTATGTACCTCAGGTGCAAGTGTTTCTGAATTCCACCGATCATTTCCTGCATTATTTGCCTGCAGATTATAGTTTAACTTGACCCTATTAGAATGATGTAATGGACTCACTTATGAAAATTGAGTTGAGCATACTCTTACATTAGAAGGCTTCAAGGCTCCCCATGATTTTACATTCACCCAGTTTAGTTGATCAAGGGACACATTTGCACTGAAAACAGACATTTGTACAGGGAAATCAAATAGCCACCACGACACCAAAGTATAAGAATTTTGATTAAAAAAAGAGACTGATATTCAACAGCCAGATACATTTGAAATTATAAATTTGATTGACGCCATTGTTATTTAAAAAAAATGTGATTATGCCATAATTGAGCTTAGCAATTTTAATATTTCAAATGAGGAAATCATCAAGCAATTTAGGTTTTAGTTCTCATTTAATTAAATTCGTAGTGTTTGTTATAAATTATTTGGAAAATAATGAACTCTATGGCTCTTATTACTAAACAGACTATCCTGCTAATGTTTTATATATGGGATTTGGGTTGGCTAATTGGATCCTAGCAAACCAAGACAACGATGCATCTTGCTTTGCACGTCAATGAGATTTTAACAAAGCAAACAATCTGTTTGTCTTACACAATTTGTGCATTTATCATCAAGCTTAACATATACAAGACCACTAACAATATCGAGACCCTCACATATATTATCCCAGGCCTGCATATCTGGTTCAGTGATTGTTCGACATAAACAAGACCACTCACAATACTACTACTAAGCTACTATACTAAGTTGATACCGTTTAGTCGTGTAGAGGATGTACCTGGCTGGTCAAATTTGCTGGAGTCAGCTCTGTCTCACCACAGTCTTCACCACCGTGGCCTTGTCATGGCCGTCGGGGATACCTCTTCGCCCAGGCCCTGCCTTTGAGGCCCGGTCACGGCACCTCGATACATCATCGAGGAGGATATCAGGTCTTGGAAGCAAAAAAAGGAATAATTTTCTTCAAGTTGATACCATGTAGTCGTGTAGAGGATGTACCGACCTGGGCAAAGTCGCTGGATTATGCTCTGTCACAAATGGTCTGCAACAGTTCCACGCCCCCTTGTGACCTACGGCCGCTTGTACCCAGACGATGTTGACGTTGTAACAGGTCGATGATGCATTAGATGCATCTGTGTTTTGATTGTGCATACAACAAAAACAGAAGGTTCTTAATTGCCATCTATCAGAAACAAAACATTTTAGATTATTTTAATGTTTATTTAACTTGATTTAAACGTATGAAAAGTCATGTTTACCTATTCAAACTGAACAATAATAAAAATAGAATCAATATTTAAATAGACAAATAAGATATTTGGTTTTTATATGGCATGCAATCAGTAAATTATCTGCCATGATAAGTTCTTTATTTAATTAATACAACAATTTAAATTTTTAGTAAGTTCTGATTTCTGACATCTTTTATAATTTATTATGAGGTGTGTTTGATGAAAAAAGGAAAGATATCTACAACATACGTAAGTATATATGGTAAAACTTGAAATATATCAGCTACTCAGCCTTCCCCTGCATGGCCTACCTATATATGTTAACCTCCTCTGCCATCCCTCACCCCCCCTCCTTACTCTCCCTTCGCCCATCACAGATAGCAAAGGATCATAATACCCATACTTGGAGCACCAATTCCCTAGGAGTACCTTATGTAAGCAAGGAGCACCAAGAAGGTGAGGTCCTCTAGGTATGTGAAAATTTCTGGATATTTGTATTCTGTAAAAGGGCAACAGTTACTAGATTAGGATCATGCTTTGGTCAGGCATACCATCAAAATCCAAAAAAAGAACACCATTGGAGATAGTGCGAGGTTAGAAAAATATCATAGCCAATACAATTGATTTTAGATCTAATCAAGCAGTCCTATTAGATGGGATGCAACTGAATACAAACAGCTATTTCAGATATTATAGGCTAACAGTCTATTCTGGACATCGCAAGTGTGGCATACACCTAACTGTTTAAGTTATGACCATGGTTTGAGCCAGAAAAACAAACAATTAACTTCTTAAGTGTTTCAACATGCCAGAAAACAAACAAATTAAATCATCTTCTGAAGATAAATATCATCAGAGTCATAATATAAAATCATTACATGTAATAGAATTTGCATGAGACATAATGCTTCGATGGAATAGTCTAAAAGTATTCATAAAGCCAAATTTATTAATGGCAGTGCTTCCTAATTTTACCCTAAGAAAGACATCTTGGCTGGACAGACTTAAGAAGGATTTCTCTCTCCTTACCTATAGGGTCAATGAAAAACACAAACATCTTATCCCTCTCATACTTGCCTCCATAGCTTAGTTCTCTCTCCACCCCCCAAAGTGGCGGGTAGATACATGTAAAGATATCATGTAAATTGTACAAAGTTTTTCTAATATAAGTTTAAAACAGTAGGAGGTTCTCCTACTATTCAAGGTTCAAAAAAAAATAACACTAATGTCTAATATTATAAATAGCACAGAGTGGGTTGTAACACGATGGTATTTTACGTAGCATAGAACATTTAATATATTTAATATATCCAGAGAAGAGGTGAAGCACCGCTACAGTTTTATACCAACAAAATAAACAAACATGCAGATTCAAATTATAGCCATTGCATATGAAGGCAAGACCGCATTATAAAGAACATGTATTCTGCTCCTACAAATAGCATGTAAAGAAAACCTCACTATCGTCCTGGCGCTGGCCTGAGCGCTCCAGACAACGAGGATGCCGCTCCCGGTGCCGGCATCAACAACCACCTGACAGACCCACCGAATCAATCAAGCCGGAGCCAGCAAGATATATACATTGATCAATAATCAAATTTTCATTAATATACTGCGCTGACTTCCAGCACCATCTTATTGAGAGCATATTGCCAGTTCTTCTCTACTTTATTTCAACACTGTTGTCTGCTCACATATATTATAATAGACCAGAAAAAATAATCTACATAGTTTATTATGTCCACTACCACCAAGTTGGGAGTCAAAAATGTTACATACTGTGCGGCATCTTGAAAAAGTACTAGCTGAAAGAATAAGCAACTCGTTTGAGGCCATTGTAACCTACTTTTGATGTTGTTTGCACATGACCCGACCTCTCCCTCTCTCTTCCCCTAAAGCTAATAGTAGCAGTACACACTCACAATAGCTAGCACATACATTTGTACATCTCCCTCTACCTCTCCCTCTCTCTTCTCCTAATACTAATAGTAGCAGTACACGCTCACATAGCTAGCCACAAATTACAGCAAAACGTGGACCGTAGTCCATTCGCGGGTACTGGGCAGGGGGGAGGGGCCGTTTGTCTCACCTTGACGCGGAAGTGGTGGGGGTTGCCGAAGACGGCGGAGTGGTAGACGATGAAGACCACAGGCTGCACCACCGTGACCCGACCTCGTGGTGGTTCTTCTTGCCGGCGATGTGGACCACAGGCTGCACCACCGTGGCCGTGTCTTCGCCCTGGCCCTCCATGTGTGGCCGTGCCATGGCGCCTCGATAGAACAGCGAGGATGAGATCAGGTTAGGGAAGCAACAAATGGAAGAAGTAGAGGAGGAACCACCACGGATCGGCGTACCGGGGCTTCTGGCGTTGCAGATCAGTGTACCTTTTCTAATATGGAATCTTATGGAGCTCTAGGTGGTTAGACCAATACTCATCCAGGATAAGAAACCGTTCATGTGCTCTACCAAGAGCATATGCCGGGATAAGAACACGCCCCCCTTGAGAAACAGTGTTGTGGATGGCATCAGTGAAGCGCTTTTCTCTGACATGGCGGGGTTGGTGTTGCTGCACGCCATAAGTTGACTCAATAATGCAAATATCAGGGGAGAATTGGGGGATCTCAGCAGCTTTTAGGTGCCGGTCTTCTTCACGGGAGTAGTCACCGGTGTAAAGAATGCGAACACCGGCAATATCCACCATGAACATGGCAGCACCAAGTACATGGCCAGCAGTATAGCACCAGAAGCGTATGCCATTAACTTCAAGTGTTTGGTGGAAGTCTATGACCTGCATCACAATTATATATTAATACAATGTCCATTCTCCCTGTGGACTTTCAATCCTCACAAGCAGAATCAGGCCTCAGCTGTAAAGGTAAAAAATCCTGCTATTTCGAAGCAATGCCCAGATAATATAGGGTTCTTAAATCTTAATTTTACCAACAGCACAGCGACTTTTAAATGTTTTGACAATTCAGAATTAATACTGACACATAAGCGCTCAAAAGGCGGGAAGCAGGAGCTAGCTAGATGGGGGGGACTGAATCTAAGTTCACTTTAAAATATTACCCAAGCATGTAATATATATGTAGGCAACAACTCCATGTACCTAAAGAACAGAGTTTGACTGAATTTGTAGGAAAAACTATCAAGAACTACGATACCAAATTAATATCATTGGATACGCAACAAAAATATATATTCTTATTAATGTAGTTGTTGATGGTTTTTCCTACAAACATGATCAAACTATGCACCATTTGACTTCAGACAACATTTGTATGCCTTCTTTTCAGAGACAGGGGGAGTAGTATCTTTATTTGTTCTTCTTTTTCTTCTCTAAATATAGTGTTTCCAGTTTTCTACCGACCAGGCTTTATCAATCATCATCGTATTGGCTACAGGCATTCCATACCAAACCAAATGGGTCTAGTCGTTCACATTTACACATGCCCGAAACAACGAGATAAGCAAAAATAAGGTACTGTACCTCGATCTTGTCCATGGAACGGATGATGTCCTGCTCGTCAAACAGCATGTCCTCCACCGACACCTTGCTGACCTTGACGTAATCCGAGAGCAGCAGCCTGTAGATGGCCTTGGTGGCGTGGGTCATGAACACGCGGCCCTTGAACGTCGTCTCCAAACAAAAACAGAGCAAATTCAGGTACCAAACAGCATAAGAACATCGACCTCCGACGCGTATTACCTACCTACCTTCTCGAGGAAGTAGGGCAGCGAGGCGGCGTGGTCCAAGTGGAAGCTGCAATTCCAATCCAAGGCCGGAAATTAGGCGTTAGGAACGCAGATATGCGCAGGTGGGGATGGAGGCGCGGTTGCTTACTGGGTGACGAGGAGGACGTCGATGGCGGAGGGGTCGATCTCGTCAAAGTAGGGCAGCGCCGCCATGCCGGAGTAGGCCGGGTGGATGCCGCAGTCGAACCGGGCACCAGCGAAGAGTCAGTCAGTCGGATTCCCCCAACAAGATCCAAGTGGAAGCTGCAATTCCAATCCAAGGCCGGAAATTAGGCGTTAGGAACGCAGATATGCGCAGGTGGGGATGGAGGCGCGGTTGCTTACTGGGTGACGAGGAGGACGTCGATGGTGGAGGGGTCGATCTCATCAGAGTAGGGCAGCGCCGCCATGTCGGAGTAGGCCGGGTGGATGCCGCAGTCGAACTGGGCACCAGCGAAGAGCCAGTCAGTCGGATTCCTCCAACAAGAACAAGGAGAGCTAAGCGGGCAGAGAGAGGAGGGGTTTGGATGCGAACCAGGACGGTGCGGCCCTTGAAGTTGCCGAAGATGGCGGAGTGGTAGACGATGAAGGGGCGGAGGAGCGCGGCCGGCAGTTCGTCGACGCGCGCGGCGATGCGGCGGCGGAAGGGAAAGGGGCAGATGAAGTGAGTGGAGTGAGGAGTGAAAGGATAAGGTGAATGGGGCGGGGTAGGTGGCCACGAGTTATGCGGGAGGCGGGGGAGGTGTGCCGTGGCGCTAGGGAGGTGGGCCGTCGCGCGGGGGAGGTGTACTGTCGCGTGGGGAGGTGGGCCGTCGCCTTGATGCACTTGTGCTGGGCCTGGCCCAGCTTGTTCTGGCCCTGTGTAATACTGTGGATAAAAATCAACTGTGCATATATAATAAAAACTATACATACCTCACAAAATCAATAAAGGTGAATAATAATATACATGGTTCATACTAATATACATTTTTTATACTTACTAAATAAACCAAGGCCATCACAAAAAAATAAGAGGGGGTAAATAATAGAAAACACAAATATACTTTGTTAAAGAAGGTTTGTTTGCATGTTATATTTTCTTTTGTTGGACAGATTTCCACAGCCTACATAAATAATTTAAATAATTTTCAAATGATTACTTACTTATATAAGAACATTATATTTAGTTGTTTTTCCCGAATTTTCATGTGGTAGGACATTCATTTAATGGTAATGTATTTATAATAATACCAATTAGGTTTCTTTTTTGCATACAAATAGTTGTGTCAGTTTCACTTTTACTTTTATTATATATTATATATAATTATATGCTGTACTAGGAAATATTATTTTTATTTCATCATGGTATAGTTGTTATTAGTGCTGTGATGAAAATTTTTAAATTATTTTTATACCTCACAAAATAACATGTATATTTACATTATACATACCTAACAAAATGTACAAATTTTACAAAAGAGTAGGAAAAACAAATATACTTTGTTAATGTTGGTTTGTTTGTTTTAGTTTTTGTTTGACAATTTTCGCTATGCTATACAATTAATTAAAAATAATTTAAGCAATTTCAGACCCCTACTTACTTATATATAAACATTATAGTTTGTTGTTTTCCCCAAAATGTTGTGTTAGTAAAATGATTTTTAATATTTATTTTTCTAATAAAATCAAATGCCTTTTCTTTAGCAGATAAATCATTTGTGTTGGTTTCACATTCAGTTTTATTATATATTTTAAATAATATTATGATGCAGTAAAAATTATTAATTATATTTTACCATAGATATAAATTGATGGGTTCCGACATACGCACTGATGCAACGATGACAGAACACGCTGAAACACCACGAGAAGAGGTGCGTATAGCTAAACTTTCTTTGTACGTATCTTATAGATGATAATACAGAAGGTCTAATTTTGTATTTTTGTTATTTTAGATTACAGAAGTCATGGATATTGACTTTGGAGATGCACGGAAAGAATACATTGATGGTTCAGATGCGATGTCGCTGAAAGGGGACGAAAATTCACAACATAAAAATGTCGACGAGGTTATATGTCATAACAAACCCAAAAAGGATGCCAATTTACATGTTCTCCCACAAGGTTTTTTTATATCATTATCAATTATTTTTTTGTGATATTTCCTTTTGTATTCAACTAATTTTGCTCATTTTGATTGCTAAGTTGGCTCGCTTTATTACCATTTCGACAGACTATGTTTGTACCCTTAGAGATGTTACAGTCATCGAATCAATCAAGTCTTCCCCAAGAATACCCAGTTTGTGGACATTGGAGATGCCTTGTTATCAACCGACGAGTTGGAATGCCTTATGAAAGATGATATGTTCTTACATGATGGTGTAAGACCAAATGCACAAACTTTGTAATTAATAATTTGAACAAAATATAATATCATAAATTGTAAATATAATGTAAATGTTGATTACAGGTGATAAATGCTTACATATATTGCATGCTTGCTCACGGCCATCTAAAAGTCAGGGCGGGCGAAAAGGTAGAAATTGTTAGCACGTTTGTATCTGGCCAGATAAAAGAAGACGGGGAAAGAAACATAGACCCATCAAAATATCACCGCATCGTGCATCATGTCAATACTTACCTACAACAAGATATGGTTAGTTTTTGTCTCGTTATCTATGCATATAATTATGGATTGTTTTTATTTAATTCAAAGTTATAATGAATTATTAATATTTATATCTAATTGCGATCGTGACTTGTATGATATTTACACCAGTTATTCATTCCGATTAACATGTCGGGCTACCATTGGTATCTAGCAGTCGCCAATGCCAAAAAACGTGAGATTCAAGTATTGGACTCACTTGGTTCTAGGGTCAAACGCAATGACCTTGCTACTACGGTAGGTATATATTTTTTTACTCATCTTAACATATGTTTTGTTTGCCTTGTTCCCTAATATTTCTCATATATAAAATAGTTACTAGGACTTGAGAAGCGTCTAAAACTTGTAGAGCATAGTCCGGAGTTTATCAGAGGTCATAAGTGGCCCGATCTTAATGTTACAAAATGGACGGTTGTAGAGCAGTTTCATGAGGCAATACAAACCGACGGGTAAGCACATGTTACAATGTTTTATTTATTTGATTTATCTGTGTGGTATTTTAAAGGATTGTTTTATAATATTATAGCGTATCATGTGGATTGTTCATGTTAAATTATATGGAATATTGGACATCACATGGACTGTCAGACACGCTCACCCAGGTATTCCATTTTTATACATTATCTCGTTATTTTATCTCAAAACATTATATAAATTTATTTATATATATTTTGTAGGAGGATATGGAACATTTTAGGAAAAAATTGGCTGTCATTTTGCTCTATTCAGAGTTGAATAAGCTAAAAGGAGATCCCATATACCATCAACCTGACGATGAAGAAACTTTAGCTAATTCTGATATCGAGATCCTGGAGAATCCATCAGACGTAGTCAAAGACAAACGTCCTGCCCCAATCACTATCATACCCACGGACCAACGTGAATTACTTGCCGGCCTCTGCAACTACATCATGTCTATCGATGATGCTGGGTGTTTGGAGTAAGTATCATGCATCAGTATTTAATGTGCGGATTTATAATATTATTATTCTTATCATCCAATTTATAGGAAGGTATGGGTCCGGAGCTCGACACCTGATCCAATGGGCTTAAGTCTTAAGAAACTTCAGTGCATACTTAACATGGAGCAGACCATGGACAATGACTGCTTCAACACAGCCGTGCGTATGCTGGCATGTGACAAGGGAGTATTGTTCACATACCCTCCTGTGCACTACATGGATCTACGATTTTGTGTAAATTATCTTAACTCTTCATTCTATGTGTCATTATTATCAACATGTTGAAACAATATTTCTTTTTTTACTTAGTCCATGATGCTAGAGTCAACACGAGGTCAGAAGTTTTGCGAGAAGGAAACTATTCAGAGTTTGGCAACATTATTTGATAGCTGGCCTAAGATGGACAACGACATCTCATCGTGCAACAAGGTAAGTAAATTATTTTGTCAATTGTTATCATGGTTTATTGTTGTTTCTAATACCTGCACTTGTAGATTTATCTTCCCTATGCATCCATCGGCCGATACATTTTGTACGTCATCGACAAAGAAGCATGTCGTCTATATATTATGGATCCTATTCAAACATCACAATCGTTAGAGGAGAAAAAATTGAGACATGCACTGAAATTAAAAAGTTTTGCAAGGGATTTCAAAGAAGCACTCGAAATTAAGCTGCCTGGTTGGAATTATGATCTATCTAAATGGCAACGTTTATTTCCGTCCGGTGTTCCAACGAGTATCGATGGGTAATGAATTCATAACAAAAACATTTACTTTTGTTATTACTATATTCTTTACATTGTTAATTTAATGTTTTACAGGAATTTGTCTGGCTATTTTGTTTTTCATTTTATGCTCTGGTGGAACGGTGAAGATTTGGTCAAGCCGATTTGCGCATTGAGTATTGTCCGTTACATGTTTTAAGACCTTCGGCATGAAATTTTCATACTAACTACATGTATGCGTTTGTGCAGGATGGGTATGAATTGAGGAAGCAGTTTTTGTTATACTTGCTAAAACATCGTGGGAATGAGGCTAAAGGAAACTTACCGGATATTGTGCAAGAATTTCTTAAGCGCATCATCTAGATATTAATAGCTTTGTAATAGATGTTTAGTTGGAACATCGCTCAGTTTGTTACATGGACATGTCTTTAATTTTTCTTATGTTATCAATTTACATTGCAAAAATAAAGTTCAGTTATTAAATAATTATGTTTCTATTATATTGTTTGTACGTGTGGAATTTAACATGTAACTCCTGCGAACTTTTTCAAGAGCCCGTGGCAACGCACGGGCACTCTACTAGTATAAATAAAGAATGAGTTCATTACAGTACCTTGAAGTAGTCTTTTGTTTTCTTTCTCTAACGGAGCTCACGAGATTTCTGTTGAGTTTTGTGTTGTGAAGTTTTCAAGTTTTGGGTGAATTCTTTTGATGGATTATGGAACAAGGAGTGGCAAGAGCTTAAGCTTGGGGATGCCCATGGCACCCCCAAGATAATCCAAGGACACCAAAAAGTCAAAGCTTGGGGATGCCCCGGAAGGCATCCCCTCTTTCG